AAAACAGCTACTTATTGTCTTAATACTGATGAAAACACATTTTGTTTCAAATCAATGCGCCTTCGTTTTGTTTTTTGAAATGAGTTATTATAAAAAGCACACATGTATGTATCATTTATAAACACAAGCATTTGAATGGGTATAGCATTTATTATCCACCATTTCGATTTCTTTTATATTAAAACTTTCACGGTGTCCGATACTACCCAACGTAAATCGTTCCGGACTTGTTTTTCATAACCATTTGGACTTGATTTATGGAAAAAGTAGTGGTAGGTTTGTAAATTTGGTTATGAAATTGCTTTCACTTGGCTTTATGTAAATATAATACAATTAGATAACTTAACATACTACATACATACATACATGTATATACCCTATCTTCAGGCACCCGCAAACGCCTTTTTTGTTCGAACCGTTTGCTATACAGTAGTCTTGTTATTTCGGGATGTGAGCGATTCTGCGGGTGTTTTCATAATGAAAGTAGCCATTTTGTGAACGAAAATCATGATTTAAAATGGTTTAAATGAGTAGCAATTGTTGAAAGAATATTTTTTAGATTTAACCATTTGGACGTGACCTAAATATTCCAGTTAATGATGTTGACTTGTTATTGGAACGTTTCTGACTTGTGTTATTGGACCGTTTCTGACTTGTAGAATACAATGAACCATTTGTAAGTGTGGAATAGCTCCATAAACTTTATAGATTTCCAACAAATCATCAGAGTGGATCTAAAAATGATCATCATAAATTAAAAGTTTTAAGAGATACTTGTCAAGGTTGAATTAGGGAATCATTACAGATACAGTGTTCTTTACTTGATACTTTCAAGGGGCAAGAATGCATGAAGAGAGAAAAGTTGATTTTTTACTTTTTCTTGTGTTTTGCCTCTTCGCTTTCTAAAGACTTCATTCGTCGCTATTTTTAATTTGCCTATGAAAAATGTGAGCATAAGTTTGCTTCAAATAAGACTTTAAAACGCCCTTATTGGCTTTAAACTGACTTCCCTGCTTATATTAATGCTAAGCAAGAAGTTTAGTGAAAGTTGAGAAGAAATGATTAGTTTTAATCGTTATTTACTGTTAAAAATCTACTGGTTTGCCCCTAGATTAATAACAATTTGATTCATTATTATTTGTTATAATTTCATAATTTGCCTCACAGCATGCAGGTTTTTGCCTCGGATTCTTCTTTAGACTTTCCCCTTAACTTCCAATGCACTAAATACGTACAAAAAGCTCAGCATCACCTCTTTTAAATGGCCTAAACTATATAAGTTTTGACTCGTGTTTTGACTCTTTTAAATACGAGAGAGGTGTCGCCTAAGTATTTGCATCTTTACTTTCTGGACACCCTGTAATTTGCATCTATTTAGTTTATATTTTTATTTTTAATCAATAATTATTATTACATTTTCGATTTCATCATATGAAAAGCTAAGCTCTCTTTTCACAGGGGTTAACGTTGTTCTCTCTGTGAATCGCATGCGCTTCTGAAGAGGACTGGGTTCAGCGTATTCTTCCTCCTTTATCGAGGTGCCATCATTAAATGACAGCTTTGGGCCTAATTTATTACACATCCGGAACCCATAATCCTGTGTTTTGTAACGCCATATGCCTTTATCACGAAAAGGGACGTCAAGCCTGAATAAATCGGAGGGATGGTCCCTCTTGAAGTGTTCAAAGAATATATTTTTATCTGCACTTTTAAAAGTACATTCGTGGCACTTGTTTCTGGGAACTGAAATTATAAAATGTGTGAATATTTAGTACAAAAACTCCTCTAAAACATAATTATACTAAACGCAATTTTTCCAGAAGCATAGACAATTCATCAAACAACGGAATGTATAAATACCATTACAAGACAATTCTTAATCGTTATTTTTATCACATTGTGTACAATTCGCAGTCGTTCACCTAGTGATTATAAGACAAGTCCGTGTCAGAATAAGGACCATTCGCCGTCGTTAACTCCACTTTTTACATTACGGTCGTTTATGGAAATTTGAAGGTACAGATAGTTAAAATATTAACATGATCTTTAATGTAGTGAATATTGTTCCTCGTTATAAAATGATTTTTTTTTAAACATAGTTAAATGACACTAATGCAGATTTAGAGCATATTTAATATGAACTATGATGGCACGATCGCCAAAATAGATATGTGGGTATGAAAAAGAATGTTTTAGGTAGAAGTTAGTGTATGTATTTTTCAAAACGATTGAATTACCTTTTTGAGCCATTCTGAGGAATGTCTCATCTCATTCTCCTACGAAATGAGTCCAAATGGTTGTGAAAAACAAGTCCGGAGCGATTTACATTGGGAAGTATAGGGCACCATGACTTTGATGGAATTAAAATGCGAAATTATATCAAAACATATTATACGATTACAGTTTAGAATAATGCAAGCTTCAATGTTTACAATCAGCCTTTAAAAACAGTCGGATGTGACTGCTATACTCAGGCTGTAGCCAAGATTTCTCAAAGGAGTTCTACTTTTGCTAAATTCCAATGGACATTTGTAACGTGCGTGCTTCCTAATTCACGTATACACCTCCATATATAGGTTGACTCAGAAAAATTATCCTCTCATTTTAGTATAAACTCAGATATGATTTTTTAATTTATCTGCGTAGTTAGACTGTTTAAATTCCAAGTTTCAAAATGATCAGATTTTCCATCCAGGTATGGTCTGGTGATATTGTCCAAAAATGTTGAAAATGCAATTTTCTGAAATTGAGATTTCTGTCTTAGCCATTATTTGAGCCATTTCTGGATTGCTTTCATACATATTATCAATAGTATGTAAAATTTACCCTTTAATCAAGAATCTTGTCAAATATGATGCACTGACTGCGTATTAGGTAAATCCCAATGATTTATGCATTGAGCTCTCTATCTACACAAAAAATCATGAAAAGTCCTTCAAAACGGAGATATAGTTATTCCCAAATTAAGGGGTGACATTTTTGGGGTCACCTGTACTGGGAATTGAATTTTTAATTTTCATTTCAATTCAAAGAAAGTACAAATAGGTATTTTCAGCACTACAGTAGGTGTCCTTTGTTGTAAGGCATTGCAATTTGAAAAAGGTTTAATTTTAGAGCCTACAGAGTCCAATAGATATTGTGTTATTTGGTCGTTTTGGAATTTCAGCCTATGTTCCATTTTATTACATTACTAATTATCATCTGTCACTTCTATCGTCAAAGAGTAGCCATAAAGACTTTTTTGTGCGCCATGATTAAATAAATATTCCATTCTTCGAAAATATTTGCTATTAATTATTTTTCAATTCATAAGGTCATTATGAATGGACACTCCTCTATTATAAAATGAAATACCAAATAAAATCTTTTGATTTGGAGTTTTTTAGAAAAATCATAATCTCACTATTAAATTGTGGGAATTGCATATTTCAGAATTTGACATATCATTGTTTGAACTCTAAAGTCTATTTCAATAAATTAGGAAAGAGGATGTCTAGCTAAAGTAGCTCGTTTTAAAAAGATGCATATTCTCCTTAAAGATATGTTAGAATTTGCCCTTAAACTTAGCTCAATATGTTAACTCTTGATTTGGATTTCATTAAACAAATGTAATATTAAAATCATGACCCTGCCTTCAGATTTCAGGATATCTATTCAGTAAAAGATTCACCAAAAACTATTTTAACATAGAAAATCAAATTGTCTAACTTCAAATTCAATTGTATTTTGCGAAAACAAATGGAGATATCGAAAATGATGTCAATTTATTTTTTCCAGCACTAAAAACAGTTTTTTCTTTACACTGTACATATTATACGAATAATAATTCAAACATAAGGAGGCTTAAACACTGCATGGGGGAGTTTACGGTTGACACACTTTTGGAGGGGGTGTAAATTGTATGTAAGAAAATTACAAAAATGGTTTTATATGAGGGACCCCAATGAAGGTGGAGATTTGTGGATAATATAAAAAATTGAACCCCTGGTCACCAAATCCTGGCTACGCCACTGTAGACTTGCAAACATATGGATTATTGTTTATCATGTGTTTCGACCGTCCTCTCACACCTATCTGAGCCAAACTTTGGTTGAGCCAATTCACGCGGTACTAACTTCGACCGTTAATTTGAATTTTTGACCTACCATGTGCTTGAAAATCAAGGATTGCGAGTCTCATACTGCACCGTTTTTCTTCAAACGTTTAGGCTACCATTAAAAGCAAAACAAAATTGCCTTTCTGTCGGTGCATTACTTTATTGTAAAGAGTCCCTCGTTCTAGCAGCGTTTTGGTCTCCAGCTGTTAGAAGGCCTTCTTTCAGCTGGGGACCAAAATGCCGCTGGAAGTAGGGACTCTGTTTAAGAGCGTAAATTGAAAACATTATACAAATACAATACCATACTTTATGTAGAGGAAAAGCAAATAGATCGATCAGTTGTCTTACTCTTCCCTTTACTGCAGAATTTGATTGTTTTTTTATTATTTCTGGGGGTTTGCAAAAATCAACATTTTTAAATTGACATTTATCCATTCCCCTATCATTGGAACTTTTTCAAATATTGTCGAACAGCATCGCCAAACAATAAACAATAAGTAAATTATCTGATAATAAGCATTATAACATTTTGCATGGGAAAAAACAAGCCAAAAATGTTAAATAAGATGGTACCATTGTCCCCTTTAGTCCTTTAAATGTCAGGCTTAATGTGTTAATAGAGGATGCCTCTTGGGTGGGTTGTGTATGATGATACAATGGGTGTACCATTTGATAACCATTTTGTTATCCAATACTACCACATAGTTGTTTTTTAACTAAATATATTGAAATAAAAAGTAAAGATTTTTCTACATGTTGATTTGAATCATACAAAGGTATTTTCCATTGCCATACCAAATTTCAAAAAAGGTACCCCATGTGCGCCGAGGATACCCGTCAAGGTTTATCATATCTTACATGTATATAAACTGAACCCCCCCCCCCACGGGTCTAGAAGTTACATTTTCAAAAAAAAAAAAAAATTCAAATGTGACAAACAATTTTCGAAATCATATTTCTAGACATACTTTTACATGTAGATTTCAAATATGACATCACTTTGACTGGATTTTGAATATTTAATGACATAAATCAAGATTATATCTACTTGCATCTAGTCTATTGATTCTATGTCTATGTGTCATAACTGTAAGTGGATTCAATAATACGAGATAGATTATATCATGAACGAAGATTAAATAATATTAAGAATGCAATTATCATTAAATATGTTTTATTATACATCTTTATCAACCCTTGTAAAAAGTAATAGCTTTCAGTCTGGGAATACATCAATTTACAATTGTGTATACAGAAAATAAAATTATTATAAGTATTAATTAATCTCTTAAATTAATCTCATTAATTAAATATACTAATGTATTGTATGATAAAACAAATAATCAATTTAAAATTCTATATACAGAAAATAAAATTATTATAAGTATTGTATGATAAAACAAAAGATATTTCCCTGTTCATGTTTTTGAAGATTGGCACTACCTGATCTAGAAATCTCATTTCAAACGATTTCAAAGCTGATTAGCGATTCTTTAAAACCCTTCTACATGCAATTTTGTATGTGAATTGTTCACATATAAAAACTTTATTTGTTCTTACATTTAGTATATATTCTAAAACATAATAAAATACATTTAATAGAAATCTGAATTATGGCCCATTTGATTATGAATACACACTATGCAACTGAAACTGAATGCTCAACATGGCCGCCCTAGACTTTTGCCCATTTTAAAGATAATTAAGTAGTCTAGCATTTTATAATTCAATAACTGGAATTGATCCAAATATAAATGTGTTTTCTCTCTTTGATCTTGGGCAGTGGACAACAAGATTTTTTATCATTTTGACAGAATTACAAAACATATTTATACAGGGTGTTCAATAAGTACTGATAAAAATGCTGTAACTTTTTAAATTTTTTATATTTTTGACTGACGTTTCACCTGTACATTGTTGAGTATTGACCTGATGTACTATGAGAGTTAAAAGAATGTACCCTAACAGGAAGGTGGTACTGAGTTGAGCTAAAGGTGGCTTGTGGTGGTTCAGGTCTGCACGAAAAAAATTCAAAATAACAGACTTAAAGTGTGAACGTTTTCATATATAACTTTATTTTTCAACCCATTTTGACAATTGGTGATTAAATAAACAGTGGTACTAAGATACCTTGACAACACCTACTGATGAAGTCAAAGAGCAAAACGTTAGAAATGAGCAATTCATTAGAATACAATTAAATGTACACCACAGAGCAATTTAAAATCAGATAACATCATAGAGAAATTACATCACACGAAGTGAGCAAAAATGATGTCATCAACAGCATGGCTGCTGAACAGAATATCAAAAATATTCAGCATCAAATTCGAAGCAGCATCAAGCTCTATATACTCTAGTATTACTAGGTAAATCAAAATAGAATACAATAAAGGACATTCATGAAGCTTATAGGGAGGACACTATATCTATGTACCCCTGGTATGGCATATCGTTGGTAATGGTTCCGCTATTTCAAAGAGGCAGAAAGTCAGTTAAAGTTGAACCCAGACAGGGGAGACCAAAAGCTGTTACTTCCCCTAGTTAGATTGATTCAATAAAAGAAATATTGGATGAATTCCTATCAGGAAAATTGCAGACAGGACTGATTCAACTGTTGCTCGCACACACCATGTTATACTCACATTGATTTAGAAATGACATTGATGTGTGACAAGTTTATGCGCCAGCAATTGACTAAAGGGCAATATTCAATAAGTTGGTCATTTTGAAACTTTTTTTGTGCAGACCTGCTCCACCACTAACCACCTTTGGCTCAACCCAGCACCACCTTCCTGTTAGAGCACATTCCTTTTACTTTCACAGTACGTCAGTATAATACTCAACAATGCACACAAAAATAGTCAGATATATGAAAAAATAAAAAAGTTACAGCATTCTTATCAGTACTTATTCAACGCCCTGTATTTTCTAAATCATGACAAATGTAATCATTATACAAGATATTTTACCTGGATACAACAAAATTTCAGTGTGCTAATGAAATAAATGTTTCATTTATTTTGTATCCAAGATGGGACTCTTAAAGTAGGTACCAAAATTGATTAGATGGAATCTGAATAAAAATAATATTGGCACTTTGGCTATAACATAACAGCTTGAAACTATACCATTATCATAATGTAGCAATGTTAAATGTTCTATGTACAGATTTGTGCACATCATTCATGATAGAACAAAAATTGTTAAAATAGGGTTTTATTTTTCACAATTAGGGTCACTTAATTTTCTTAATTTACTAAAAACAATAGCCCTAGTAAAAAAAATCCTTAAGCACGTATATGTCCCAGGTTAGAATTGTCATATAATTGTCATGTTCAGCTGGTTAATTTGTATATTTTGTTTTTAATTGCTTTGTCATGTTTATGAACAGTTCTCATGTGCATATAAACAGCTGATTCATACTTGAATTTGTTTCCACATATATAACACTTAAACTTCTTTTCACTGGAGTGTGATGTCTGGTGTGATTTCAACCTTTTACGGGTCGTGAAAAGTTTCCCACAAGTGTGACAAACCATATTCTTTATATGAGTGTCAGCTAAGTGTCTTTTTTTGGTCACTTCACTTCCAAATGTTTTCGGACAAAAGTCACACTTAAATTTCTGTTCAGCATGTGCGAGATCATAATGTGTTCGATATCCTCCACGAGTCATATAAGTCTTTCCACAAACATTGCATAGTACACTGGAACGTTTTTTACGCTGAACAGGATGTGCATAATATCTATGGCTCATCAAATATTTATAGTCTTTAAATTCTTTTGAGCAAATTAGACATTTGACAAATGGGTGTTGCTTCCAGTGACCTATTAGCTCTAACCAAGTGGAACATACCGTGTCACAATGCGTGCAATTGTATGTGGCTTCAGCTGGGTGGACCTGTCTAGCATGCAACTGGAGACTTACCAAATCGGGAAAACCCCAACGACAGTTTATACAATTAATTCTTTTTCCTTTGATTAAAAATTTGTTTTCACATTTGTGATTTAGTAATGTTTCCATCTCAAAATTACATTCACCAGATTTATTTTTACCAAAGTCTTTACCACATTTAGGACAGAATTGACCAGTGGCTTCAGGATTTTGTTCAGAGTTAACATTAACTTGCTTTGAATTCTTCACTGGGGCTATATTCAGTTTGTCACTTTCTTGTGTAGTTTGCTTAGAATATCCTTGCATACTCTGCATGGAATCTCCTTGCATACTCTCCATGGAATCTCCTTGCATACTCTGCATGAACTCTCCATGCGTACTCTGCATGGGATCGCTTAGCATTCTCTGCATGGAATCTCCTTGAATAGTCTCCAAGGAATTTTCTAGCACACTCTGCATGGTATCTCCTTGCATTCTCTGCTTGTGATCTTGCATAATCTGCATGAAATCTCCTTGCATACTCTGCATGGGACTTCCATGCATACTCTGTATGAAATCTCCTTGCATGCTCTGCATGAAATCTCCTTGCATACTCTGCATGGGATTTCCATGCATATTCTGTATGAAATCTCCATGCATGCTCTGCATGGGGTCTCCATGCATACTCTGCAAGGGATTTCCTTGCATACTCTGCTTGGGATATCCTTGCTTAATCTGCTTGGGATCTTGCAGACTCTGCATGGGATCTCCTTGCATTCTCTGCTTGGGATCTTGCGAACTCTGCATGAGATTTCCTTGCATACTCTGCTTGGGATCTTGCATACTCTGCATGGGATCTCCTTGCATACTCTGCTTGGAATCTTGCATACTCTGCATGGGATCTCCTTGCATACTCTGCTTGGAATCTTGCATACTCTGCATGGGATCTCCTTGCATACTCTGCTTGGGATCTTGCATACTCTGCATGGGATCTCCTTGCATACCCTGCTTGGGATCTTGCATACTCTGCTTGGGATCTTGCATATTCTGCATGGGATCTCCTTGCATACTCTGCTTGGGATCTTGCATACTCTGCTTGGGATCTTGCATATTCTGCATGGGATCTCCTTGCATACTCTGCTTGGGATCTTGCATACTCTGCTTGGGATCTCCTTGCATACTCTGCTTGGGATCTTGCATACTATGCATGGAATCTCCTTGCATACTCTGCTTGGGATCTTGCAGATTCAGCATAGAATCTCCATGCATCATTTGTAATGTACTTTGTGATTCATTTTGTTTGTCACTTGGCCAGAGTTTTCTTTTTCTTTTTCCCAGTTTTAATTTGTCCTTCAAGATGTTCTCAACAATGCCTGCATGATATGTGAGGTTATGCATTTGTAACTGTGCAGGGCTCTCTGTCCTAAACCTCCACTTGCAGTCGGCCACTATACATTTATAGACCTTACTCTGTAGACAACGGATGACATCTACTCTGGACTCACCTGAAAGAATGAAGGTAAATTAAGACACCCTCAACCTGTCAACAGATTATCTGTCATTCAAACAAGCCCTCTTTGTGAACTGTACACTATGCTTCATTTACAAAAATAAAGGACCCATGGTCCTGTGCTCACACAGTGTAGAACCTTCAGAGGAATATATATCCTGATTTTCAAACAAAATTATTGATTTTGATTTGTAGTCTCAAACTTTGAGAAAGTTAGATAGCATGGTTTGTGACTTAGTTTGAGGACCTTTGACCTTGAACATTTTCAGGGTACATAAACGTGTCCAGTATTTCCGTCTGGTACAACTGGACATACTGGACGCGGACCTCCATTTTTGATCCAGAGAGAGGTAGGTGTAATTTTACTCGGTAGCCTGGTGATCGTTTTACAGTGTGTCCTTACCTAAAAACAGGCTCATCAGATTCCCAGTACTGGGGAACATCCAATTCTTATAAAATGACAGCTATCCATCTAGTTTTTCTGTAATGTGGGGTTAAGCACAGAAATATTTTGATTCTTTTTCAGGAAATACACGAATCGAGTTATATTTCTTTTTATTTACCATTTCATTGACAAGATATGCAATTTTCCGGTGTGTCAACTAACAATACAGCCTCCAATCTGCACATTTAAGCTTAAAAGTGATCGGTAAAAGAAAAATGACGAAATTTTAGAAATACTGGACGAAATAAAAAATGTACTAATACTGGACACAAGCCTGTAAATACTGGATGGCTTGCGTCCAGTATATTTTTATTTCGTCCGTTATTTCTTTAAATTTGGTCATTTTTCTATTTTCGATCAATTCAAAGCTAAACTTTGCCAACTGTAAGCTGTATTCTTATTCCATACCAAGAAAATTGCATATCTTGTCAATGAAATGGTAAATAAAAAGAAATCTGACTCAATTCATGTATATCCTGGGAAAAAATCAAAGTATTTCCATGCTTAACCCCACATTACAGAAAAACTAGATGGATAGCTGTCATTTTATAAGAATTGGATCACACCTACCTCTCTCTGGATCAAAAAAGGAGGTCTGCGTCCAGTATCTCGGTTTGTACCAGACGAAAATACTGGACGCGTTTCTACCCCCTGATTTTACTTATTCAGAGCTCAGTAGGTCTTTTGTGATTAAGGTGACCAAAATTTACATCCAAATGATCAATTTGAAAAATCAACTTTTTAGACCCTTCGAAGGTCACTGAAGGTCAAATCTCAAAAGTAAGGTCAGATTTGAACTCCTGGCAACTTGTAGACAAATTTCCCCCGAAAATTTGGTCAAATTGAAGCAAGTTAAAAAATAACAATTAATTTGACAATTTCTCAGAAACCGGGTGAACTTGAGAAATGGCGCTGATAGGTCAACTGGTCAAACAGGCATTATGGATATGCATAAAATGAATGTGAATATGACTTAATACTCATAGCAGTTTTAATTTGTGCAGTCAATGATGATTGACTTTATACATGAGAAAATTCCCTGAAAATGACAGTCCTACTTTTTGTCAAATTTTATAGAGTAAACACCAAAAACTGTAATTTCAAGAGCTTTGAAATCTTCAGAGAACATATGTTGCATATACAGCAACTACTACAAGTTATTTGAAAGTTCTACTTCAACAAAGTGTCTAGTATTTACAGAAAATTTGACTTTTTGACGTCAAAATTTTTCGGAAACTGGGCGAACTTGGGAATTGGCGATGATAGGTCAAATAGGCATTATGGATATGCATAAAATGAATGTGAATATGACTCAATCCAAACAGCAGTTTTAATTTGTGCGGCCAATGTTGATTGACGGACGGACGCATGGACAGACGGACCAACGGACGGACGCCTTGTCGATCCCATAGGCTCACTATGTGAGCCAAAAAGGATATAATATAATAAAACTCTAACATTTACTACTAAAACAAGGCATTAACATGATAAATGTCACCACTTAGTTTCTCACAATATAATGAGTTAGTCAGATTTTAATTTTTGAGAACTTCTAGATGATTTTGAAAAAAATTGATCAATTTGAAGCAAGTTGAAAAAAGACCTTTTTGTCATAATTTTGACCTTTTTGACCTTGAGAAGGTTATTGAAAGTCAAATCTTAAATCTAAGGTCAGATTTGTACTTCTGAAAACTTGTAGATGATTTTGAAAAAAAATGAAGTCAGTCTAAACAGTATTTGTTAAGTTATTGGAAGTTGCGAGAATTTGTTACAGACGACAACCACCAACCCTGCCGACCGCCAATCTCCACCTGCTGTCACAAAAAATGGAGACCATAACAATATGTCAACACTTTTTGGAGAGGCTAAAACACGGCAATTTTGAAAATAGGCGAACCTATCGACAGAGGTTTTAAAACATGTCCCTATTGTGAACTGACTGAGAGACAGATGGACAAATCAATGTTAACTTGAATGGCTGAAAATTAAAAAACGGATAGAATTTTTTGCTGATTTTTTGAAAAAAAATTATTTCATACCACTACTCTCTACCTAGACATAGCTTTTAACAATGCAGAACACTTGAAATTATTTATAAAACTACCAAAAATGGTGGCCATTTTGAAAATAGGGGAGCTTTTGAATCAGGGGGGTGGGTTTCTGTATTGATGCTGAACAAAAATAACTTAAAAGGGAATCCTATTGACAGTAAAAGTGGATTTCGCGAGACAAAAATGGTGGCCATTTTGAAATTAGGGTAGCTTTTGAATCAGGGGGGTGGGTTTCTGTATTGATGCTGAACAAAAATAACTTAAAAGGGAATCCTATTGACAGTAAAAGTGGATTTAGCGAGACAAAAATGGTGGCCATTTTGAAAGTATGCGTTCCTTTGAACCAGGAGTCATAGAGGAGTTTTCCTTATTGATGTTGAACAAAAATAACTTAAAACGGGACTCCTGTTGACAGAGATTTTAAAGCAAATGGTCTAAAAAAGAATTTAACGAGACAAAAATGGTGTCCATTTTAAAAATTAGGCAAGGCTTTGAACCAGAAGTTATAGAGGGGTTTTCTGTATCAATATTGAACAAAAATAATTTAAAACGGGAATCCTATTGAGGTTTTAAAACAACAGAGCAACTGGTGGATTAAGATAACGGAAGCAGCGACACAGTCAAGTCGCAAGCATTTAGGAAAACCAGGAATTATTTTGTATTGCACAAAATGTTCAATACATCAGTACATACACCCCTTCAAAACGTATAAACCCTTCTAATCTGAAAAAACTCTTTGGTCAACGTAGCTATTTTGCGAAGTCTCTAAGAAAATAACATGGAATAAGGAATAATGGAATAATACTATTGAAAATGTGACATTTTTGAATTGTACTCACAATCCAACTCTATCCTTCTTGATCCTGCCTTTGAAGAATAATATTAATAGTTACCTATATTTGGACTTTGGTTGTTGCCATCACATTTCCCTTCTACACGAGATGGTACCTTTGATCTTTGATCAAAAATATTGATATCGATTTTTACTTTCTTGCCTCTGTGAAAGTTTGGTGCCTGACCTGATGTGATGCTTTCTTTGTTGAATTTTGTGGTTGATTGTGGTGCACATAAAGTGGAAGTACTTGCTGATGGCTGTTGAGTGGCTGTAGGAACTGAAAAGGCAGAATTTCATGTAGCTATACTGTTATGTTAAGGCAACACCAACACTCTTAAATAAAGATGTCTCAAACATTCTAAATGCTTTTATGTAATCATCATTCAAACATGACCGTGCCATATTAGAATCCCTCCACCAATCAGACTGCAGCATAGCCGTTCATTAATTCTCCATACATGAATGACTGTGCATTATGCCAGCATCCAGGTACTATCTAGTATTTGATTGCATTGTGACATCACATCTAGGGCTGGGAATGGCAAGCGATGAAATATGAAAGAAAATGAAAGAGATAAGTGTTATTGAAACAGCTTTTTATGTAACTCTGAAGTAAAACAATTCCATATCTCACCTTTTCTCTTCAAAGCAATGTTCTTTCTGGGACTTTGTCTGTATTCAGTAGCATTAACTTTGTCTAAAGGTGTCTCAATGTTATCAGCAATCTTGTCATCAGCTTCTATAGTATCTGACATGTCAACTTCAGGATCCATGTACTGTTGGTTTTCCAGTTCTGATACAAGTTTTTCAAACTGATCTTCTGGTTCAGTTTTCACAGAAGTTTGCCCAGAGCTTTCATTCCAATCCAGTGGCTCCTCTTTTATATATACCCCTGTGTAGGTCTCATCCTCTGTATGCTTTGATTGCATAGCCTCAGTCACATATTCATCCAACACTGTGATCTTCAAAAGAGTTGCAATTCTTTTCAAATTGCCAGCATCTGATTCAGTGAATTCAATACTTCTCCCATACATGAAATCTAGTGCCATTCGTACTGCATCAGTTTCTACTTCTGCCTTGCGGAGATCAATCTTAATCTTTGCCTGTTGAATTTTGTCATTGCTGCATATTCTATGAACGACAGGGCTGTATGCACAAACTACCACCTTATGTGCTAACAGCTCAACACCTCCATGAAGCAGGAAAATTGTGTCACAAAATTGATGTCTCTTTTGCATGTCTGCTAACATATTTTGGAATAATGTGTTCTGGATGCAATACACTAAAGGCTGCTTTGTGCTTTCCTTCTTCATCTTGATACCACAGGTATCTGGAAATACAAAAACAAATATTTCATTCTACAGACAGCATTAAAAAACAAGGCATTAAAATTGTCACCACCTGCAAATGGTTACAAAAGTAACAATTGTTACAGAGGAAGGTCAGATCTCAAGTCAGATCTGAACTTCTGAGAATGTGTAGATGATTTTGAAAAAAAGTTGAAACAAATTGAAAAAACATTTTTTTAGACCTTCGATCAATATGTTGCAATGGTTGGCAGAAATGTGCTGGAACTCATGTCTCATAAAATGTTTATATATGTTGACAGTAAAAAACAGTCTAAAAAGTACTTGTTAAGCTATTGAAAGTTGTAAATATTTGTTACAGAGGCCGACTGCCTCTTTTGGTGGTGACGTGAAAATCAATCATTTCTGTGCTTGATTTAATTTTGTGATTTACAAAAGAACAATGAAAATATAAAATTTGTGATTTTGTTGGCATAGAGTAATTTAGTAACAAAATTTATCCAAATTGGAGTTTTTTCACACTCTTCATGAAATTAATTCTAAGTACTGTACTGTAAATTACTTTAATTTGACCGCCATTTAAATGCTTCCTGGCCATCTCAACCCCAAGTCAACTCAACCCCTGTAAAACTCAACCCCAGTAAAGCTCAACCCCTATATATTTAGCATTGACAAATTTGTATTCCATTTGATATAAAAGTTTGTTAAATGAAAAGGTTTAAAGTCCCCGTCTAAAGTTTGAAAATATTTTTTTATCATTCATTTACTATTTGTCAGGACTTAAAAAGTGATTTTAGAGATTTTTGAACAAAAAAATTTTTTTGAAAAAAAAGTTGCGAGCATTTCATTTCTCAAATATTCAAATTTCCCGCCATTTTTCAAAAAAAGTTGAAATTTCTTAATCATCAAATATTTCTTAATGCATTTCAAAAAAGATTATATTTTTAACACCAATGCAAAGATTGAACAAAAGACACACTATTTCAATAATAAAATGTCATATTTAATGGGCCACTTCAATGTTTTAGCTTATCAAAAATATTTTGAAACATTAGTGATGTCACTAAGGTAACAAAAACTTTTTGAAAAAAATTGAATTTTTTTTTTCGATGTCAATCTTTTCTAAATATGTTAGACTTTCATAAAAAACCAATGTTGATTGTCTAACCAGGTTAAAAGGAAGAATAAATTATGTTTTAGATATCATTGTACCATTGGTTTCTATGAGAACTAAAATTTTGAAATGCATTTTTCTCAGAACCATTTTCATGCACTGATAAGTTCATTTCTCGCTTGTTTATCAACCGATTTTCTTAATTTTTTCGGCAAAAAACATGGGAGGATGTATGCTATGCATTGGTATGAATTGTGGCTAATTAGAAGATATGAGTGACCTCTAAAAGTTGGTTTTAAATAAATTCACAAATTTTGGAACAAAAAGTCTATCAAAAACCACTTTTTGAAATTAAAAAAAAAAGTTTCACATATCACACTTTGATAACATTGGGTAAGACTACAATATAAGCCAAAGTGGTTTAAACTTTACACAGGGCCTTTAAACAATTTTGATTCATTTTGGATTTCCATTCCAAGACCTCCCTTGTAAAGTTAACAATGAGCGAGATCTCCAAAGCTCCAAACCTTCAACATGGATAATGACTTAACTCGTATTTGTGAATGCAACTTTCGGCTGTCCGCTACTGGATTAACCTATTATTTTATGGGCAACTCATTTAAATATGAGTTTTGGAAAATTCGCGAAATATAATAGCCTTCAAAATTCCAATACAATAACATGTAGTTCTAATTCACAACATAGTAAACAGTAATACTGTAGTCGCAAAAATCCCGGGAATTTATTTCACTCAATGTGAGGTTGAGTTACTGTATTATTATATCACTGCCCCCAGGATTCCGTGTTTGCAGAGCGCGGACGGAATTTGCCTCTGCCCGCGGAATTGCAGAATCAACTATTTTGGTCAATTTCCGCGGAATTTTCCGCAGAATCCATATATTTTCCAAAAGTTTAAAAAGTCAGTCTTACCTGTAACAATTTGACACGTTTTCAGTCAAATCCCTTGCAGAAATAACCCAAATTATGCGAAGTGAAAATTCTAAACGCCATCGTTTGATTTCTGCCGTTAGATGGCAGCATGTATGTAGTGACTGAGACTGACTACCTGACTATCACGATATTTTCCCGTTTACTGGTTCGAAAACCATTAGTTTTTCTTTCGGTTCTCGTCAGAAAGTTAAACAAAGACATAAATTAATAACAGTTATTTATATTATTAAGTTATTGATCGAAAACTTCGAACTCCAATGAGATATTACACTTAAAACCTGATTTACATATATCGTGATTCCCATTATGCGCCCGATCCTCCGTGTTTGAAGTTTCGAAGCATCGGACTTGTCAGAGACTAAAAATAAAGACATACTCGTAGATTATGGCATTAATTACAGCATTTTCATGGAAATGGAACTTTCAGTGGTCAAATTTGTTTGTGGCAGGGTTTAACATGTAGGAATATGATTATCAAATCATGTTTTTAGAATATATGATACTGTTCTTGTTAAACCAATCCTGATTTTTTTTATAATAACCGCAAAAAAATGCCGCGAATATCCGCGGAATTTCTGCAGAATTAGCCCTTTCTTCTTGCAGAATTCACTAATTTCACTTGCAGAATTGAGCATTTTAACTTGCAGAAAACTGGGGGGAGTGTTATATATTGGCTTATGAAGATCGTAATTAAAATGAACATTCACAAAATGGCTCTAAGCAAAATCTTCAGATGAAGGGAAAAACAAGGCTGATACTGAATTGGAAATGGTGTTCTTGCAGGAATCACCAACTTAAAATGAATTGGAAATGGTGTTCTTGCAGAAATCACCAACTTAAAATGAATTGGAAATGGTGTCCTTGTAGGAATCACCAACTTAAAAAGAGAAGCAGGACAAATTTGGAGAAGTCACAATCCGCGAAAATATAATAGCCGCAAAATTTCAAAGAAGCATGAAATTAGCGAAATAAAATAGCCCGAAATTTAACATTTTAAATTGCTATTAAAATAAAACCATCACCTCTTTGTCTGCCATCTTCTTTTAATGTTATGTAACAATAACTAGGAGATGATGTTTCCTTTGGTTTTGGTGATAGGCTATTAGCTCGATGTGTTAAAGTGGTCATCTTTATACTTGGATGCTGAATGGATGCCTTCCTAAAGGGAACTTCTGATTCAGATGATTTTGAAGATGAGGCCATGTGTTTGGATCCCACTGAATCTATGTGTGTTCTTTTTGAAGAAACTGCTTCAGTGTTTTGTAATAATAACCTTCGTTTTGGTGCTTTTCTGGGTTGATGCACTTGCACAAGGCTAGAACTATATCCAAGTTTTAGAGTGGGATCTGGATTGTTCGCTGAAGGATAACCATCCACAAAATGATGTGAACAAATTCTAGCAGAATAATCTGGTACCCAACGTGTACCATCGACGTTCCTTCTATTTACTAATTTTATCCATATGGCTCTTCTTTCAGGATTCTTCTTCTCTGTAGGGAATGTGAAAAAGTGAAATGGAGGTGAACATTCACAAAGTTTGTTTTCTCTTAAGCAAACATGTTTCATACAGTATATTTTTGCCCATTTTTTTAACTTCCTAGTGTTGTTAGCACAACCTTTAACTGCACAATAGCTGATTGGCATATCGGATCAGTTAATAGCCTCAGTCAGTCTGAAAATAAATTATTTGGGATTTATAAAACTTTGTGTGAATGTAAACATGCCATCTATTGGTTGTCCATTGCTACTCTATGTGACTGACATCAAGGTGAGCACCATCTTATATATCTATTAGAGATCTATTGCTTAAGGTGTGGAAGCTTTATTTAAAATTTAAAATTTTTATGGTCCCCCAAATTTTCAATTGCAGAATTCAACTGTTTTAAACTAATTTTTCAAGGTTAGTTTTAGCCTCAGAGGGTCATAGGACATCCAATTGTAATCAACTAGATTAACTTCATACCGAGTCCAGAAATTGTTCTCATCACCTAAAACTGTGCTCATTTAAACCTCAAAAAATGTACACAATGATGTCTCGCACACATGGAAAAATGCGTGACATATACACAATTTACGTGAAAATTCTGAAATATTTTTGCAAGACGATAATCTATTTACATATGATTTGTATCATTTTTAATGTTTAAATAATATACTGAAACGTATTATGTAAATACTTCTCTGTGACAATAATCAGAAAAAATGCATATTTGTGTGACATATTCTGTCAAGTAAAAAACAGGCATGACTTATACATAAATTGCAGAATAGTTCACTGGTGGATCCATGGGGGTAGGCCCAGGGTAGGGTAGGCCTTGGGTAGGCCCAGAAAAAAATTTTAGGGCCCAAAAATTGTGTAGGGCCTCAGGAATTACTCAGAAAAATGGGCCTTAAATTTTCAAAGTTTGGGGCCATTTTTTTTCTTGACTTGGAATGTGGGCCCCCCTTGGTAGCTCTTGGATCCGCCAGTCTGGCTTGCCCCCAGAGGTGTAGACTATATCCTCTACTGAATTCTTTTTGAAATTTGGAATGAAAATATTCAGACTACGTATGTCCCATATATATTAAAATTTGGGATTGAAAAATATTTGTTTACATCATGGGCTACATACATTGTACTGTAATTGCTATTCAAAATGGCCGATTGAGTAAATTAATTTGCATATTTGTTATGTTTCCTAGTTTTATTTCCATTTGACAATATGCTGTGTTACTTTTCATAGCATTTAAAGGCCTAAAAAACTGTAGTCTAACGTTTATTTTTGGGAAGTGATTGTGAAGCTTCCTAAAATTGATAATTTTCCCACATGAGGGAAAACTAAAATGAGGGATGATGATGATTATGATGATCATTAGACTGCATTCTCAAGATATTCAGTCTATTGGATAAAGACTAAGAGTTTGTGCAAATAAAGGAGGCTAGATTCTTACAGTGCTGATATATAATAATTAAGGGTGCGTTTTCAAACTAAACAGAGTGCTCCTATCAAAATGAATTTGCCTACATACCCCTGAGACTCTTATCTGATAGATAGAATGCACAAATAAAACAAAAGTTTTGCTATTATAGGTAAAAGTTCTCTTGAAATTTCGAAGTGATTTTACCTGTTAATTCTGTCCATGTCACACCATTTTTGCGGAAGTTACACTGAAACGCAAACTCCATGAAACGAAACGAAATTACTAGAAAAAATGGCACACATTGTGCGCATGTGCAGCAAAGTTTAGACCAATCAGATTATTTGATTATTTTGCGCATATGAATTAGTTGCTTCTGAGCACTTACAAGCTTACCACAATAAACAAACCTGGCAGAGACTACCCTTAGCCTACTTCATTTTGGCGAAATTTCAGCTCAAACTCGTGACAAATGCATTATGCATACGCTGGTGTGAAGCCTTGGAGACACTCATTTTGGTAAATATGATTTATGGGGTATACTTTTCTGCAGTTTGTGGGAGTTTGGGACATTAAATGTTAAAATTCAAGAAAATATGCCAATTAAACGACTGATCAATTAATATATACCAGCACTGTAGAAATTTTTTCGAAATATGTTTACGACACGGTAAAAATACGAACGCCGGAAAAAACCGAACGCAATGTGTTCGGATTTGTCACGCGAATCCCGTATGTGTCACGCATGTTCATTGGAAATTTTTCGTACCTCCCCCCCCCCCCCCCCCCCCCTCCCTCCCCCCCCCCCCCCCCCCCCCCCCGTTGACGACATCGCGAGCGTAGCGAGCGCGAAAAATTTGAGGTGTTCAAAGTTTTGCAAAGGTGCTCAAACTTTGGCCAAAGGTGTTTAAAAGTTGGCTAAAGGTGTTCAAAATTTGGACAAAAGTGTTCAGATTTGGACTTACAGTGCTGGTATATATTAATTGATCAGTCGTTTAATTGGCATATTTTCTTGAATTTTAACATTTAATGTCCCAAACTCCCACAAACTGCAGAAAAGTATACCCCATAAATCATATTTACCAAAATGAGTGTCTCCAAGGCTTCACACCAGCGTATGCATAATGCATTTGTCACGAGTTTGAGCTGAAATTTCGCCAAAATGAAGTAGGCTAAGGGTAGTCTCTGCCAGGTTTGTTTATTGTGGTAAGCTTGTAAGTGCTCAGAAGCAACTAATTCATATGCGCAAAATAATCAAATAATCTGATTGGTCTAAACTTTGCTGCACATGCGCACAATGTGTGCCATTTTTTCTAGTAATTTCGTTTCGTTTCATGGAGTTTGCGTTTCAGTGTAACTTCCGCAAAAATGGTGTGACATGGACAGAATTAACAGGTAAAATCACTTCGAAATTTCAAGAGAACTTTTACCTATAATAGCAAAACTTTTGTTTTATTTGTGCATTCTATCTATCAGATAAGAGTCTCAGGGGTATGTAGGCAAATTCATTTTGATAGGAGCACTCTGTTTAGTTTGAAAACGCACCCTTAATTATTATATATCAGCACTGTAGGTGTCCAACATTTTGAAGTCACTCATATTAGGTGGTCCCAAGTTGACAGCCCTGGTACCAGTCCACAAAAACAGTGAAATCATATTAAAGATTCCAATTAAACTTTAAAATTGAGGCAGATGCGATACAAAAAGACTCTATTAATACAGATATACAGGTTACACAGTAGGGACCACAGAGGTTGAGGCTTATTTTCAGCTCGTATCTGTTCACATGTTAAATTATGAAACTTTACAATTTATTTTACAATAAACTATTGCACCCAATTCCATGAAATCGGTCTCAAATTAATAATTAATCAAAGTTTTACCATTGGGTATTTAATATGTAGTGTAACCTGTCTTGTGCTGATTGTTATGAAGCAAAATATGAGAGAGGTGAAACCATTTTCGCCGCCATTTTCGAAAATTTTTGTTGACATTGGCAATTCACCCAAGTTTTGATGACCGTTTTTTGAATAATAAGGGGACAGATAATTACTCTCAATACATCGAAATGAAGTAATAACATGTGAAATATTTCACTTTTGTTCAATTTTGCCCAAATAAACGCTTATAATTTTTCGAAAATTGAGTTTGAAGTGGAGCATATTTTTGACTGAACTATTGCACATTGTTTTACTCCCCGTCAACTCCATGTCAAAAGCTCAATCGCAAGAAAAGTCACTTTTCTTTTGAAATTTATAAAAATAAATTTAAAAATCAAGTGATCCCGGTGTGCACCGTTGATTTAAAAAAATGCAGGCTACTTCCGCCATATTGTTTTGGATCTACTTCCGCCATTTTGTCATGTTCAAGATCAGTCACTCAGTCAGTCTTCTGGCCAAGATTTATGCAAGCCTGTCAGCATATTTGGTTTAAGATATATGCTACCTACCTCTATAAATTCATCTTAAGGTCTGTAACACATTTATTTGATCAGGAAAGCAGAAGAAAGCTATAAACTTTTGCAAAACGTGACTTCCGGAAGTGGGCGATAATAGGGTCAAATTCACTTCAGTCAATATTTGAACTACCCTTGAACTTAATTGTTAATAACGTTTGTTAGTCTTATCATATATCATTTAAATGATAATATAAGAAACTAAATATGATTCAAATTCATATTATTTTGCATGATGTTGTGGATTAATCCAAAATTAGAACTTTTGGGAATTAAGGTTCAGCTGGAAAGTAACATTTTGGTAAAAAATTGCTATACCTGCACATGTTATTTTCTGGTACAAAATTAAGTATGAAGTCATGTGTGTATTTCCTTGCTTTTTTCAGGAAAGTATCATTACACTGTTTACTTTTAGAATATCTGGAAACAGGTCAATGGAAGCTTCTGTGTTGTCTGGAAACTTTGAAAGAAAATTTGGAAAAATAGAAAGTGTGAAATATCAGAATTTCCTGGAGTTCCCATTGAACCCCTACCAGATATTCTAAAAGAAGACAATGTAATGATACTTTCCTGAAAAAAGCAAGGAAATTGACACATGCCTTCATACTTTATTTTGTACCAGAAAATAACATGTGCAGGTATAGCAATTTTTTACCAAAATGTTACTTTCCAGCTGTACCTTAAAGAGGCATAATCTGATTTTTTTAAGAGGCACATATTATAATTATGCTTCTGCTTGACCAGCTGCACATCTATTTCTAATTGATTGGAGTGACACACAATTATAATTGAGATTGATAACTATTTAAAGGCACAAATTGGCCTTTACATTTGTATTTATTCAAGATATTAAAAGAGGCAGAAATAATCACATTGCTCTTGCTCTTGCTACTCATCAAAAAGGCAACATTTAATCAAAAGGTTAATAATATTTGAGAATTTAATTTTTGTATCAGCAATATTTTGAGCCATTTACTAGACTTAAACTTTTTGAAAATACAGAATAAACATAAAGAGGCACATCTAAATTAGACTTCTTATTGATCATGCTCAAGCTTAAGATGCACTTACTCATTTCTACAAGCATTCCTACTTGTCTTGAACAGCACATGGTGATTATTAAGATTATTGATTATTAATAAAGAGGCACAAGTTGATCTCTATAATTGAAGGTATTATTTGGGAGGCAAATTTTGAGAGCTAAATAATACTTAGTAGTAGTCTCATTGCTCTTGCTGCCCATCAAAAAGATCTAAAGGTATCTTGTTAATATTAGAGAGGCACAAGATAAGTGATACCTCAATACCTAAATCATAAATG